GATTTTTGCATCTATGTTCATTAGTGAGATTGGCCTATAGTTCTCTTTTTCAGTTGGGTCTTTCTCTGCTTTGGGGATCAAGGTGATGTTTGCTTCCAGGAATGATTTTGGGAGTATTGCTTCCCTTACACTTTCATTGAAGAGTTTAAACAGCTACTAGTTTTCTTAACAGTATCCACATGACTGTGTGACTTTTGGTTAACAAAGGTGCTTTTGTAACAAATTTTAAATTTAAGGGACTTTTTATTTAGCTAAAATTTGCACTTGCACATGATAGTAAAAGGTATTTAATGACAGCAGCAAAAAAAAAATCTAGATTCTATATTTTATATTTATTGCTCTTCCAAACTGGCCTTCTCTTCATTCTCTTGATGATAACAACAATTGGTCTTATTGCTGTTTTCTGAATATATGAATATACTTTGCTTACTCTTGCCCAAATGCAAAGTTTTAAACTCTTGTTTTGAGTTAGGGTTAAGTCCAAACTCTCTCAATGTTTTCATGTTTCCTAAATTATTACACATACTAAAGTTTCCACAATCGATGTCTAAGCTATGTGAACTACTTCCCATTCTAATTGCCTGTAACTATATAGTCTTTCCCATGTACTGGAGAGCTGGTCAAATGCTTCTTCTTGTCCTCAATTTGAGAATGTATATACTTGATATTTCTAAGTATGTTAATATCTGCTCTGAGAAAATATATGTTTTTTATTCAGTATACAGAAAAAATGACATTGTTAATATCCCTTTTATGTTCTTCCCATCATCATGTCCTATGTCTGGTAGAAATGTGATAACATCTATTTGGTCAATGACAATAGAGCATCGCAAAAGGCCAATAATAGGACCAAAATTGGTTGTCCTTTGTATATATTTTTATTTCTCCTCCGACAAGCCTTTTTTGTATAAAGATGTCTGGACATCACACATTACATTGAAGTGAGCAGGAAAAAGTAATTTATTGGTCATTAGATGTATATTTGAACAGAGCTTTAAAAGAAACTTAGATTTAAAGGATTCATTTGCATACCCATAGTTGAAATCTTAAATGATGTCAGACAGTTTTCTTTTCTCAGACATATCATCTAGATATATGACTAATACAGCTCTGTAATCATGGACCCTTTATAATTCCAATTCCAGAAGAACAGCTTTTTATACTTCTGTTATTCCTTGTCTGAATCTCTGTTTTGTCAAAGGGGATGTTTTCCAATATGTTTCCTCTCTGTTCTGAAATCATTCCAATGGAAATTTTGTTCTTTTTCTTAATATTCCAGATGAAGGTTATTTTACTCTTATCCTAACCATTTGTTAATGACTCACATAAATCCCGTGGGTTTTCTTGACCCAAATTTTAACTTTTTTAAAAAAAATCTCCCAACCTGGTGAACAGTTGTTGGAGATAAATAAAATCCTTCCTGAAAACAAAATGAATACCATTAAGTGGACTAGCCATCAGAATCTCCATTTAATAATTCATAGAAAACAGCAAAAGATTCAAGAGTATCTGAATTGTTTTGTTACAACATAATGGCAATGATGGTATAGTCAAAAGAGTCTCTTATTAACCCAATTAAATTAGTTTTATGCTGAGAATATTTCTTCTCTAAGTGTGTATTCTATTCACTCTAGGAAGACATCTCAATGATCTACTTGCTGCATCAAGAAAAGGAAAAAATGGAATGGCAGCTTTAATACTGTGAACAAAGTTTCAGAAATGAAAAGCTTATATTTCCATGGATGCAAGGTCAGTGTATGTCAAATAAATTATTTATTTATTTTCAGGTAATCTCAGAAATTAAAGATAATGGTGTATTTCAATTTTGTGTTGACCTGCTACTTTTCTCGTCCTAGTAACTAACTGGCCTATAAAATGATACAAAACATCAACCTGTCATGATTTCATTACCTATACTCCTACTCTTTCCCCATAGCTTATTATAAAGAAGAGTTAATTATAGACTTGACTAACTACACAAATCTGACACATATAACATCTAAAAAGCTTTTTACTGCCAGATAAATGCTTTCTCAGCTGCAATTATATTGAACAGCAAGTGGTTATACCCAAGGATGGTTAATTACAGGTCTGATTTCCAGTTGGTTGTATTAAGATTGTACCCTGGACCCCACCTCCTATTTCAGTGCAGTAGCATGAATTTAAATTAAGTAAAACTTCTTTAGATGACACACTTATTACATCTAAAAACTTACATTTCATGACTCAAAGGGGCAAATGACTAGTATATAGTGTTTTGTTTTTTTTGTTTTGTTTTGTTTTGTTTGTTGTTTTTTTTTTTTTGGTACCGGAGATCGAACTTGGATCCTCCTGCTTGCAAGGCAGGCGGCGGAACCACTGAGCTAAATCCCCAGCCCCAAGTATATAGTGTTTTATATTTAAAATACATTAAATAACAGGATAATGGTGATATTAGGCATTCTTATAGCTTTATATAAAGAGATCCGTGATATTTACCTCATTTATTTTCCACAACTCTCTCATTAATATGTTACTTAATAGATTTTCAGAGATTTGAAAGTTTGAAGCAAAGATGTTATAAGGATTTGAAAAAAAATCCAAATTTTTATATAGGTTTTGGGATCTGATCATTCTTTACATGTATGCTGAAGAATTACTGCTTTTAACTATAGTGTTCAGATCATTTGTGTGCTCATTTTCTACTCCATAGGTATTGTTCAGTTGTCCATTTATTTGTTGATAGAGGATCATGATTCAACAATTACGAAGCAGGCCAAGTTTATTATAATATCAATTTTCAATGTTACACATTAATGAGTTCTCTTAAGGAAACTTTGTACACTTTATAAAGAGAAAGATCTATTTGCCTCACATAATTTTGTCAACAATTTTGGATATCCTGTTGGCCTTAATTATTCCATTTTTTAAATTTAAAAAACCTTTATTTTATTTTAATATATAATACATGCATACATAAAATGTTTCATGAGTTATGAAAGTTATATACATTGCAAAGCAAATTTCTACCTGCTCATCTCTACTCACATCAACAGTGGCTGGTAACTGCTGCTATCAACAATTTTGGTTTTTTTGGCAGTACCAAGGATCGAACTCAGGACCTTGTGCTTGCCAGGCAGGTGCGGTGCCACTGAGCTACGTCTCCAGCCCCTGCCAACAATTTTGTATCCTTTTAGAGATATCCTATGCATATACATGCATATAAAAAATCCAACCACTTTTTTTTTTTTTTTTTTGGTACCAAGGATTGAACTTGGGACCTTGCGCTTGTGAGGCAGGCACTGGAACCACTGAGCTAAATCCCTGGTCCCCAGCCACTTTTGTATATAAATTTACTTTTTCAAATAATAGTGTATCTTAGAGTTCTCTTCATATTCAGTTATTTTGTTGGCCCTACAGCTGTGTAAGATTCTATCACAAAGGACCTCTGAATTTTAGGATATATTTAAAATTAGAATATATTTCCTTTCTTGGCAAGCAGAATACATGATGGTTTACCTTCCTATTCTAATTTAGAATATTTCATACAAGAAAGTCAACATAACATCTTTGTTTATATAGATGGCATGTGAATATAGTACTTGTAGTTTTCATGTACTAACATGATAGCTAAGTGACTTTAACAATTTAAAGCCTCTGAATCTAATTTTTTTCCACTTATAAAATATGATACTTGTTTCCTACTATTGTTAGGAAGGTAAGATAAAGCGGAGAATATGACCCACGTTAGCTTAGTATGTCACACATAATGCTACATCTAGAAAGTTTACATTTGTATTTACCTATATCTCTACACCTGCATCTGTGTTTATAGCTATATTTGTCCATGTTTAGGTCTGTATGAATGTCAATTTTTTATGTATGAAGTTAAAATTAAGATGACCATCTCATCTAAAACCATCCCTATGGGTCTGTATTCCTTTTCCAGATGTCTTAGTCTATTTTGTGTTGCTATTACAAAATACCTGAAGCTGGGTACTTTTTATTTATTTATTTATTTATTTATTTATTTATCTTGAGATGTGGTTTTGGTATGTTAGGCAGGCCTCAAACTCAAAATCCTCATGTCTTAGCCTCTGGAGTAGCTGGGGGTTACAGGTGTGTGTCACCATCCCTGGCTAAGACTAGGTACTTTATAAAGAAAAGATATATATTTAGCACGCAATTCTGGAGCTTCAGGAACATGGTGCCAGCATTTGCCTGGCTCTGGTGAGGTCCTCAAGGGAATGGTATCATGATGTTGGAAGCATATACAGAAGAGCAATAGAGCACAAGTATGAGACTCACTTATAACTGATACTCATAGGAGCTAATCTAGTCCCTGACCCACTTTTGAGAGACAGCATTAATCCTTTTATGAAGATGAAGCCTACATGACCTAATTACCTTCCACTAGGCCCCACTTCTTAAACTTTTCACTCTTTCAACACTGCCACGATGAAGACCAAGCTTCCAGAAGTTCCACATTTGGGGGACACACCATATCCAAACTATAGCTCCATGCTTTAGTTTTCTTCATAGCACTATTGACTCCTGATATTATGTAATACATTTATTTAGTGTCTGTTTTCCTTTGACATAAACTCCAAGAGAGCAAAGATCTTGTCTATCTTGAATATGACTGTGTCCTATAAACCTAAAACAGTTTCTGATGTATAGCAGATGCTTAGTAAATGTTTGCGTAATGAATGAGTGAATTTAATAAATATTTATTAAATATCTACATCAGATCCTAGATTAAGCTTGATCTTAAAGTGTACATTTTTTAATTTTTTAATTTTTATGAGCACATGTTCACAATACAGAATGATTGCATTTATTATGGGTAGTAGGTACATGTACATAACACAACACTAAATAGTTTTTATCCTATTAAATATGATGGATATGATAGAATAGGATAGAATCTTAGAATCAAAGCATTATGATATGCATGATATGCAGTATCATTGCTTCTGGACAAGTAAGTAAGTAAAATAATTAGTATCTGCTCACATCAGATAGCTGGAGTTGGAAGAGTTCTGAGTGATCATGAATCCAAGCTCCTAAGTTCACAAAGAGATTCAGCCCAAGGAGCAAAAGCTTGAATTAAAAACTAAGATCTCCCAACTGAGGTACTTTTTCTACCATACTAATTGGCCTTTCAGTTATCTACTGTTTGCTCTACATGCTAGGTTGGGAAACTAAGGATATAAAATAAGATTTCTCTCCTCAGGGACTTTATTTGAGAAGACAACTTTAGCACATAGGAACCATGAGAGTATACCAGGAAATAGGACAATTCTAAGGACTCTAATGTAGAAAAGTGTTTGAGCAATAGTCAAGGAAGGGATCCATGGGAACAAGGGAACTTCAGCCAGACCATGAAGAATGACCTCATTTGGGAGGTATGATAGTTAACCGTGGTGCCAACTTGAATAACAAATGCCAAGTTGATTGGTTAGCATAGTTCTGAATATTGATGATAGGCTTACTGAAGAGGGAAGACTCACCCTGGGTGTGGGTGGTACCAACCAATAGGCTTATAGCCTGGATGGAATAAAAGGGAAAAGAATACGCCCTGTTTCTTTGGAGGAGCTGCAATCTTCCAGCCACTGCATTTGGATGTTCATTTCCAGGCTTCCAGTGCAGATTCTTCACCTTTCAGCACAGACCCCTAGGCTTCTTGATATGGACTCTCACAGGACTTTAAAGTGAGCTTCAGGCCTTCGACTTTTGACTGGGACCTTCTGATCTCCAGCACCCAGATGGCACTTGTGCATTCTTCTACATCTGACTCTACAAGTGGTCTTGTAAAACCTACCTTGTAAATATTATATTAAATCTGTTCCTCTAGTGAATACTGCCTGATACAGGAGGGAAATCTGAGAGAAATATTACAGACATGGAGATCACATGGAGAAAATGTGGGAATGAGTATAAATGTTTATGAATCAGAAAGAAAGAAGCAAATGACCTATTATAGCAATATATAAAAGATAAATGAAGGAAAATATTGTTGGACAGGGAGTGAGAGGTAGGTAAAATTAATGGTCTTTACAACATTCATTTCTCTGTGATGTAAGAGTTGAGGCTTATTATTTCACTGGCAAAGGAACTGGAAAAATTGAAGGATTTGATTTTTTTTGAAAAGCTCATATGTTGAAAATAATATTTATGGCCCAAAGGTGTGGTGTTGGTGTGCTGAATTGTTTAGGTGAGGAATGCCTGGGTGTAGGGCAGCCATAGATGTTGGAAGGGGATATTATTGCCTTCTTGTACACCTTTAGTACTACGTGCATTCCTATTTTCATCTGCAGGGACAGCTATCCTTAAGTCCTCTTCATTTATCTAATTCCTAATAACCCCTACCCAGTAACTATATCACTCATTGCTTGCATAATGACATTATCTCTAAAATTGCCAAGTTGTTTACTATACTTTCACTTTCATATACTCACTTTAGCTGGGTATTTCATGTCAATTACTATCTATCATATAATAAATGGAATATATTTATTTACCAGTTTTATTCTAAACAACATTATATACTACTTTAGTTCATACTGGATCTATCAATTTATACCTGATACAGAGTGGGAATTTAAATAAGTTTGTTACATTCTTGCATTCTTTTCCACCTTCGGTCCCTCTACGTGATCTTGGCATTTACACATACACGTCAGTCATCACACTTCATGTCATTCTTATTCTCCTTGGCTCAGTCTTTTATCTAGTCCCATTTATGTACCTATTCCAAGGATTTTCCT